AACAGAAGTATTGGAGAAAGGAGTATTCCAGACAGTAGAGGAGTACCCAAAAAAGGAGTATACACAGATTGAAATATCTCAGACATATGTCCTAGAAATATGTATATATTTACATTAATATTTTAATATGAACACACAAATAAATATGTTACTAATTTAAACCCAACTAAAATATAACATTTTAAACGTTATATAACATAAATGTTTTAACGATGAATCATTTACCGATGTCAATTATTTTTAAAAAATTATATATGTCCAGTTAGATACCATATATATATGATTGATCATACATTTTTTATCGTTTAATTGTATTCATATTACTCTAATTAGATTTGCGCTTTTGTTATTAACGTAAAACTTACAAATCAAACATTAATACTTGAATTTCAAAATCATCATTTTTCAGTTTTTTTGATTTTTTTTGATTTTTTAAGATGATTTACATACTAATGCGATATTTTTTTGTGAGCAAATAAGTTTAAAAGAACCATAATCTCAAACATATTCAATTTACATTAATTAAACCTATTCAATCTAAGTGTCATGCCTATTAAATTATGTAAGATAAAATATTTTTATCTAAGAGAGATATGTCATTTGATTTTTGTTATTTCCAATTTCTCATGTATATTATAAGTAATTATAATTTTTTCATTTTTAAATATTCTAAACTCGTATCATAAAAATCTAGTTATGGGTATTAATTGAGAAGCAATACGGCTTCCATGTTGACATTTTAAAATCTAATAGTGGCATCTGTGGCAGTTCTCTCCCTCATTGGATACAGTCCGTGATGAACGACAATTTTGTTTTTCTTAAGAATGTAAATATTTCATTAAAAGGAAAACAATTGAGGTTTACAATCTATGATTATAGACTTTAACAAATGATCTCATGGCAAAAAGGAAAAAAACATGGAATAAAACAATAACCACACTTTTCGGTCCATCCACTCAACCATATCGAAGATACTACGGCAGTTAGATGAAGCGATGACGATTTTGTTGTTATTCCTCGATGAGTTGCAAAAGGAGAAGGACGATTGCAACGTGTTATCACCGAGATGCGAGAGACCCTTAGCTATGAAAGCTTTTGCTAGAGGCTCCCCCGCAGCGAATCCTTGGATCAATTGTTTGTGGGCCGCCCCTACAGCAAATTCTTGGAGGAGAGATGACTCCACCTAGGTTTACGACCCCTTGAACACAGTTGGATTTCTCAAGAGTCTTTGCATTTCTGTCCAATACAAATACCCGTCCCATCTACCTATCTGCCAGTTCGTCATCCCTGATTGCGGCAAGCCCGGTCCAAACTCACATAACACCTCTATCCTCGTGTTTGGATGGCAGCCGACCTTCACCGACAAGGTGGTAGGAGATGCTTCACTCGTGGGTATCCAAGCCCCTCTAACCAGCCTACTCCCATCGAAGATATAAGAGCTGGAAGCCTAACTCTGCCAAATAACGGAAACGTTATTGATTAAGAGACTTTCCAGAGATATGTTGAACAAACATATGCCAAACTCCATTTCATGAGATCATATGTTCATAGAACTATCAGTTCCGTTCCGAACATTGATTCGAGAAAACTCGAAAGCCCCCTTTCACCAAGATCGCTAACGTGCCAATTAGGGACGTTGGAAAGATTAAGTTTCCATAATTCTTTGAGAACAGCGATCTGTAAACCTACGTGAGAGCATTTCGGATAGCTATAACGTGAGCTCATCTAGCCATCGATAAGAGAGAGGCTGGACAGCAGAATACCTAGTAGGACCTACCTTGGAATGGTTTGAAAGTAGCTCAATCTAAAGAAACTCGACTTTTGTTTTGTTCCTTCCTCTTAGCCAGCTCGTCATTCTTCGTTCGTCAGATTGCTTTGATTTTCTCTTCTGCAACTCGTCGTTGGATTGAGCTCCTGGACCCATATGAAAAAGCGTTTTGTGGCTAGATCTCTACGTTTGTGTTTGTAATGAGTATATATAAGCATAAAATAAAAAATACATAGAATTTTTTCACGAAGTTCGGTTTTCTTACAACCCCGGGACCTAGTCCAGAATCAATCCATTAGAAAATATCACAACCTACAATTGCTATATGGCATACCACCACTCTTTTCTACATGGACAAACTATGAAGATAGGTATCAAGNNCGNATGNTTGACAACCANCCANCAGCACNGGTGCANCACTGTCTTCTCAACGGCTGCAATCTTCATAGACAAACCACCATGAACATGGTGGGACGACACCACACACATGTTTGCCTCTCACAATAAATCCTAAGCGCGTATTCTTTTTGTCAACGCCTCTTGCCTTTTATATTACCACCACGAAATCCACACATTTCATGTGGGCTTTTAGGCTCTCTCGTAATTGGGGTTTATAATTCAATAAGAGTCCAATCTCACTTTGTTCCGCGTGTTGAAATAGCTCTGCATTTGTCCCAGCAGCTTGTATTCTAATGAGCCGAAAACCTCTCTTTCACCATAATTCTTCTTCCTAAAATATTTCAATTTTAGAAAAGCAAAACGGAATTTTATTATGTTCTATATAGAACTTTGCTACTTTTAGTATTGTTACC